CCACCTGGCCATGCCGGGCCGTGTAGGCATGTACCATTAGTTGTGAACCAATGGTTTATACTATAGAAATGAAAGATTTATATTTTAATCTATGCTCAACTGTTAAGCGATGAAATTTATATATTCAGTAAATGCTATTTTTAATGTGTGAAATTTAAATGAAAAACACCAGATATGAAACACGGGAAGAGCTGTGCCAGTCGAGCGGAGTCATTATTGAAATGAGGGTAACTCGATTAAAACTGTATCGTAAGCAGAACAAATATCAACCAGTGGGTAGGTTTTGGAAAATGCTTAAGATCTTAGAAGCAAAACAAACCTATTGCTGATACCAGTGGTGTAAATATGCTCCCTAAACCTCCGAATTTGCATATGGGCCCCGAAGAGGCTGTTAATTCTTAAAAATTGCCGACAAGGGGAATAAATGTAGGGGGCCCGTTTAATTTTTATGCCGTGGGGAGGGGGGCATCTTATGTAGTTACGTCATTGGCCAATACACACACACACACACACACACACACACACACCTATCTTGAAATCAAAAAGTCACTTGCTATAAATTGGTTTGCAGTACGGCTTAGTAATAAACTAAGCTTTTACGGCCAAATTCTCATGGGATCTCTTCAGCGTAGGTGGTTCAGTAATGTTATTAATGTATTTTGGTGTACTGAAGAGGGTGTTGCCTACCCGGGTGACACACAACGCGTTATTTTGGATAGATGATTTCATCCTGAGAAGGAAACGGTTGAAAACGTTTTCTTTAATATGCCTTGGTATTGGTCGAAAGGCCTCGTCGGCACTGAATATAGCACATATAGTGTAGTTGACATGTTTCTTATACATTCTTCTTTACTTTCAAGTTTAAGTTCTTAGAATTAACGAAGTTTGTTTTCAAGTGTTAAACACCTAAAGTAATCTCTAAAATATCACACCCAATATTACATCATGCACAAACACCCACATAAATACATATGTATCTGCGTGCGTGTGTGTGTGTGTGATACGATTTATTTATAAAATGTTACAGCCATTATTAATTGCCTGTTTTGTTAGGTTAAAGGAAAGCCTGCATCAGAGATACCTTGGAAAAAAAAATTGTATGTACTCAATTGTTCACGCCGCGAGACACTTTCTGTAAAAACCTAAGAAATCTAAATTATATCTGCCAAATGTAAACCTGAGTTTCAGAAACGACGTTTGACGTTAATAGCAAAGAAACTACAAAATACTAATTTACCCTTTCAGCCGTGGGGGCGTTATAATGAGGCGGTCAATCCCACTATTCGTTGGTAAAAGAGTAGCCCAATGGTTGGCGGTGGGTGGTGATGACTAAGTGCCTTCCTTCTGGTCTTACGCTGCTATATTAGGAACGGCTAGCGCAGATAGCCCTCGTGTAGCTTTACGCGAAATTCAAAAACAAACAAACAAACTTGTGCCTCATGAAAGTGGAGTTGTGCACCACCCAAAGTCCTGTTAAGACACAGAATGGATCTAACTAACTCTGGGACAACTAACTTTTGGCCTATCTTGTAGTAGTTTGAAACATCTATATTAACTTCTGACTAGTTTGTTTAAAGCAAGACAGCAAATACAATAATAAATAGTATAGGTGTGTGTGTGTATATATGATTCTTAGTTTATTTCCTGTAAATTTGTTTTTGGTTGTTTTTTTGTATAAGGTGCAAACTTTTATTTAAATATTATCACGACCAAAAAAAAATAATAATAACGAAAGTTAATAAAATGCATTTTCAATATTTTTAGAATGGTGATCATTTTCCAACCTAGTAGAGTTTTCTCTAGCAAACTAACTTGTTAGTTATTTTAAGGAGAAGATAGATGATGCTATTAACGTGAATAACAGTCAATAGGTAATGATTCCTTTGTTTTTTTACCTTTACAACAGATGTACGATTAAGAGTGCCTGTCAGAATGCATCCACCAGTTTTAGTGTTAGTTCTCCGCGTTGGTTGTCACTGAACACTCAACAATGTATTGACGTCCAAACAGTTAAGCCTGAACAACTTCCTGTTACTGGCATGGCCATGGTAAGTTCATTAAATTTCTCATATAATCTGACTATTTTACCATAACGTACCTACTTCACAGCGGAAGGACACGTTTGAAATTCATCGCACATGCTATTTCCGTAAAACACTTAAAAAGGATATAGTGCGAAACTACTACTAGTAAGTAATACTAATACTAATAGCTGTTAAACTGTAGCAGATTACGTAAATATAACACGTGTATATTTTTAGCTGATATGACTGATGAAATAAACACTATTTGTTTGTTTTGAAAAATAAAATATGTAACGTGATTCACACGTAACAACAAAAAATGATAATCGATACATTTTAGTCAATTTATTAAACTCTATTAAAATGCTGGAGGTAAGATCTTGCAGTGGTAATGTTTAAAGTTTGTACACGACCTTGATGGATAAACGTCAGTCATAACTTAAACCCTACACGACCTTGATGGATAAACGTCAGTCAT